CTATGCTCAATCTAGCAAAATGGGTCACTACTGCTTAGAAAAGATTCAGAAATAATATTGCAGTCAAAGCGTGAGAACATCTACTATACATCTCTTAACGCTCTCTTGTACGCTTTTTTGGGCTTAATATCTGTTGACTGCATACATAGGCTTTGTACTGTAGAAAGGAGTTTTTTGCGACCCATCAAACGACAATTAACAACAAGCTGTTAAGTGGTTACTGCTTAGCATAGCATCGTTTACCGAATAGCAGTCTTTTCTTTAATTCTTTCGCTACAGTGAATGAAGTGAAGAAAATTGTTGAATTGCACGATAAGGTGTTGCATATTGCCGTCTCTATGATGAGCAAATTTACTTCGAGGATTATCTTTTGATATATTTACGATTGCCTTTCAGTCACCCTACACTAGGAAGAAAGTTCGAAAATAAGTGAAAACCAAGATAAGAGTGAGAAGAGTTTGCGTCTTCAGTTGCAGTTAATATTTAGGCGATTCTTCGTCTTCGACATACAGCAGTTCTGGCGCATCTTCTCTTGTTTCTTCTACCCCTTCATCATCCTTATCCATTTCTGACTGCAGTGATGACCCACCATCGCGACCAGCGCTTGCAAATGGTAATCCTAACGATACTCCTGGAACAGAGGTCAGTCGCAGGTTTTTGAAGGTTTGTTCCCACCACTGAAGCTTCTACAATATGCTCACATTTTTTTTCTTTTTTGAGAGTTTGACACCACCCATGGTGCAAAATAACAGTGACGAGTTGGGAAATACTACGAATGCTACCACATCCGAATTGTCCCCTTTGACGAGTGGGTCACAACAGAGCACTAGTGCACATTCAGTTCAACCGCCCGTGTCTGTACTTCATCCCAAGGAACGGTTGAGTCAATGGCTAGACGAAAATCCTTCTTCTCCTCATATGCCAGAGGAGAACATGACTGATCCCTTACAGAGAAGGGTGAGTTTGTGATTTCCAGAGATTCGACCTTCTTCAGCTCCTGCGGCAAGCAGCATTCAAATATTTAAACATTTACGCTTTTTCTTATGT